ATACAAGTTTCACAATACAGATATCCACAAAGGATTATGCCCTCAAACCCAAAAATTTCTCTCAAGAAACCCTCAACATATTACACAAAGTAACCAAAGATTATTGCTCAACCAAAAAATAGATTCACCACAACCACACCGTAATCAACACTAGACCTCACCAAGAATATCTAGAATCGAAGATTACAAAACGAAAATCAAAGATTTTCAGAGAGAATACAGAGAGAACACATAGAGAGTAGAATATAGAAAACCTTAAAAATAATCTAGAAGATCAAACACAAAAGAAAAGTCAAGCCAATAATACAAACAGTCAGAAGTATCCAACAGTCATAGCCATTCCAGATGGCATCATCTCAGCCTTCAAAATAAAATAACCAAAGTCGCACTTCAATTGAAAAACGCGAGAATACACAATGGAAATAGCTTGCCGTGTTGCATTTAGAATGGGCTGGACTCAACATTAATTTGGGCTGCATCATAGGACCATTAATTGGGTTTTCAGTTTGGGCTACATCATTAGGCCTAATATTGTTAAGCAATCAATATTTAACAATCTCCACCTTACTTGACATTTTGGGTTTCATAGCAGTTTAGAGGTTAACTTCTCCTTCGATTTCATTTGCTCTACGTATCTGCAAAAACATTAATTAGAAATAACATTTAGGGTGTATTCGGTAGAGATTAAAATTGGATTAAAATTGAAAAATTATCCGTTATTGTTGACTTTTATTAGACGAGTGGGACCCAATAACAGCTATATTTTAAATTTTAATTGGATTTTAAGCACGACCGAATACGCCTTTAAGAGATTCAAACGATCCCTAAATTTATACAAATGAAGTATTTTTGTTCTCATGTCTGTTGAATTACATTTAGTTGAAACATTTCAATTTTCATAATTTCCTTTTCTAAGATATCTCTTACAAAATGAAATTTAACATCTATATGTTTAGTTCTATCATGAAAAATATGATTTCTATTAAAATGTATAGCAGATTGACTGTTAGAAAATATAACAACATTATTATCAAAAAAATCAATTTCATCCAACAAGTTTTTCAGCCAAATACCTTCTTTTACAGTATCAGTAGCTGCAATATATTCAACATTTGTTGAAGACAAGGCTAAAATCTTTTGCAATGATTTCCAACTTATGCATGTATCATTCAAAGTAAAAACATATG